TAGATGTGGTGCTTAGGGACATGGTTTAGTGGTGGACTTGGCAGTGCTAGGTTAACGGTTGGACTTGATGATCTTAAAGGCCTTTTCCAACCTAAACGGTTCTGTGATTCTATGATTAATGATAGTTGCCCTTGCTTAACCCAGTGAGGTGAAGGCTGGATTGAACCCTATCGCTGGTTGTCTGCTGTCCCTACAGTGGATGAATGAGGAGGGGTTATTGTATGTACAGCAGGTGCCAGGCACGTTCTGCGGCACTTTTATTTCCTCTTCTTGAGGAATTCACAGACGAAGTAGATGGTGACTTGGCACTCGGAGTCGTTCCACTCTCCGGTGCTGAGCATTTCCACACAGTCCTCACGGCCAGCTGGGTCGTGAGGCTCCCCGTCCTTCCAGTTACTGTAGTTCTGCAGTGGGCTGTTGTCTGCATACAGAAACTGTCCTTCTTTTTCCAGGTCGTTCAGCCCAATGAAGGCTCGGAAGAGGCCGCTGTTGGAGATGTAGTCAGCAATCAGGGCATTGGTTGCCTCATCTTTAGGCATGGCCAGTGTTCCTCCTCTGTCTCTGCAGTGGATCAAGGCTTCTCTGTAATTCTTCTCTTCTTTCACAATGTAGTAGAATTTTTCATCTGTCTCCCTGATACCTGCTATAACTTTAAAGGGGAAAAAAGATTGCTTAATGGCATGTTAATGGATATTGCACGTTCTTCTGTTCCAATATGACAATGAGATGATTTTTACATTAGAATTAATAAAAGGGAGAGAGGAAAAGTATTCCCACCACTGAATTTGTGATGAATGATGAGGACATGATTAGAGACTGATGCTACTAACAGGACTGACAAGCACCTTGCACACATTAGGACAAGAACTGTTCAGTCCCGATTGGCATGTGTCTCCCGTGACAAGTTTTATTTCACAGATATCTAGTACTGATCAAATTAAGGCATGCTAAATGGTCAAACAGCGATGTCTAACTCTGGATCACCCCTGTTGCATTGCATGTTTTTGAATACAGATTGTGGAAGATAGAAACACACGCAAGGGTATAGATAGCTTGTCAGGGTGTGCAGAGGAAAATCAATGTGACTGCTAAAATGAGACATTTTAAATACAGCCTGATATTCAGAGCTGCTGTAACCACTAAGTGGCATTGAGTAGGGAGAAAACTGTGGCTGGTCAGCAGCTTTAAAAGGCAAACTTCTCAACCAGCGTATATCCTAGTGAATTAAGCAGTGCCAAGGAGCGTGTCTGGGCAGCTGGAAGTTGATTATCCCTGCTGATGGATTGCTGGAATGGTCCTGAGCAGAGCTTTGGCCGGGGGCAACTAACGCTCTCCCAAGCAATTCAGGAGTTACCCCGGGCACAGTTTAGGAGTTAGTAGAGGGACACTCCTGATAATATGGCATTCAGTTTTGTAGGATTTAATAATATAGATGAGTGCTGTTCAGTGCTGGTTGCCCGTGGTGCCAGAGAACAGTCTCAAACACATTTAATTTACTGATACAGACCTAGTCCTAGAAGCAGCAGTGGAGCCTTCTCAAAATCTCTGCTATGCCAGGGAAAGCTCTTCCTTCCTTTCAGTGGGGGCAGTTTGCACTGTCCACCTGACAGCACTGCCTGCAAGCGTGGCTTCTTAAAACCCATGTCTTTGAGTGCTGGTCCCTTGTTACAGGAAAATGATGCTTGCAGTGAGGGGAGCGCTAGGAGTACCATGTCTGCAGCCTTCCTGTGCAGCAGAAAGATCAAGAGGTTCCTATTGCTTTTCCTGCCTCTCTGGAGCAGATCGGCACAAACCTTTTCCTTTCATTGCCTGAGTGGCTGCTGAGCCTGAGCAGAGTGACAGTGCAGAGGCGGTTAGCAAGCCGTGCTTTGTGCTTTTCATGATTCTTTCTGTTGTGCTGTTGATAATTTTTGTATTGTTTTTTGTTATCTGCTGCTTATATCCCTACAGCTGTAAGACTGTCTCTTTTCTGTATGTTTTCGGAGTGCCTTGCACAGTGGGACCCTCTCTCTGCGTCACCTATGGATGCTGCCATGGAGCAGCAACAGTAGAAGAATAGCAATGATAAATGTTGTAGGAGCCAAAGAAATCACATCAAATACATAAGGGTCCTTACCGTTCTTTACAAACTTGATGGACGTGTTAAGACGAGCAACATTGATATTCAGTTGTCCCACAACTCTGCGATATCTTCCACAGTCACAGACCGTGCCTGATGCAATACAAAGAATAAAGGATTTATCTGTTTAGAAGCATTTGTGTGTGTGCATGGAGGGATGTCTGTAGCCCACTTCCAAACCTTCTGAAGACTTGGCCTCCACTTGTGGAGAGCCAGTCTTCCCCTGCCCTGCTGGCCATACTTTTGTTGATCAAAGCACTTAATATTTTGGCTCTGTACACTCCCTTGCTAATTGGCTTAAGAATCCCTACTTTTAAAAACGTGGATAGAAGAGTTTCCCATCTTCTTTCCACCCATATCAGTGTGGGATTTGCACATCCTCTGCCCCTCTCATTATTGATGCCATGTAGCTGCAGAGATGTGGCTTGCCATGGTGATCACTACAGCGTTACATCTGAATGCCACAGGTCTACCTTTGTATCCCTAAACAGCACATGTTCCCCAGCCTTCTAATAGAAACAACAGCATCCATGAACCAGGGAACCACTGCTTTCTCAGTGAAGGAGTTTTGTGAGTACGCATAGAGAGAGGATTTGTGAAACTTTGGTAGAAGGACTATGTCAGTGAATTGCTGCATGCAGCTGTGGTACAGCAGTAATAGTTGATACCAACTCAAATAATAACTTTCAAGCACTGAAGTCTCAGTTATATTTTTGTTGGTAAACTGAAATTTGGCTTGGTATAGGTTTTGTTTGTTCCTCTGTTATTCTCAGGAAGAAAATAAGTTGCTGATTGTTTCCTATTAAGAACCAAACTGGTATTGCATATGAAATATCTTAAAAATGAACACAGCTGTACATTTCAGGTGGGAAAACATTCAAGGTCAGTAGGACTGAGAAGAACTTTCTGGGTCATCAGATCCAAATTCTCCTCCTGTAAGCAAATGCATTGCATTCATTTGACAACTGATTATGCTGTATCCAAAATCACTTACTTTTTTGTCCCCACAGTCCTATTAGGAAATTCTTAAAGGACTTAATTCCTTTGGTATTCAGAAACTTCCTTCTAGTTTCCAGTATAAATGTACTACTGGCCTGTCTATGTGTTAGTTTTTATGATATTAAACATTGCCCATTAATTTAGGTAACTCTTCTCCATATTTTGTGTATGTTGGTATATTCATAGGCATCAGTCATGACCCTACCCGAGCCTTCATTTTGCTAAACAAAACTTTCAATCTCTTCCTGTTCATTTAATCTATTTTCAAGTTTTTCCATGGGCCTTAAAATTTTATGAAACTCCAGACAAACCAACCCTGAAATCAAAGACCCAGCAGACTTGACCATTCTGCAGAGAAGGATGCGTAGCATACCTGCTTTTCCCTTTTTTCCAGAAACTCCCGATAAGCCTTTGGCTCCTTTGTCACCTGAATAAAGAGGAAAATATATTCTCAGATCTCAGACAGTGCACATGTCAGGGGAGCGTATTTGAAAAACCTCTTTAATAATATATTAACAGTGTGCTCCTCATAGGAAGCCCTGATGTACTGTACTTGCAGATGTGCCAAGTCAAACAAACCATGAATTAATTCTGGTGTATGGAAATAAGAAAAACCTTTTAATAGCTAACTCACTGATAACACAGGCATCTTGTGTGCTGCTGGTTCCTGGTACCACTTACTTTAAATATAAACTGCAAAATGATCCTGAGAGGCTGAAAGCACTCAAGAAATCTGTGAGAGGTGAGACCTGTCATTGCCTTGCAGGACAGAGCCCTTCCCTGGGTTCAGTGGCTCCATGATGGGATGAGGCACCAGATGAGGCTGATGTGCACTAAGCCACTGAATTCATGTGTGCAACAGATTACGTGTGCGGGCAGCAGTTAGCACCTGCACGAAATGAGGTCAGTAAGGAGCAGCATTTCATTTCGGATATAGTTCATGTGGTTTATTTTCATCCAACTGCTTTCCTCTTATTCTGTAAATCATAAAAATGATAGAAATACTTCTCCAAATGCTGTGCTACTATATAAGTGGAGGTGACTAGCTTTTTAAAAAAATCTCAGCTGTAATTTGGTCCAGGAACAGCTGGACTTTGTCTGAAATTCATGTCAGCTCTTCTTTTATGAATTAAAACCTTCAGAGGTCAAAAAATACTAATGCTTGTTCTGCCTTGTTGATGGCCGTGTTTTGATGTGCTTTTTCCTTTATGTGGTTGTGTTTTTTTAAAGAAATTAGGGGTTGGCTGTCATTTTAATTAGCATTGCTTGACACTGCACACTTACAAGCTGAAATTTCAGGGTTGCTTTATTAAGAACTTGAATGTTTAATGGTAGATTTAAACAGTGACTTAGTGACCTTTGGTTCTGCAAATAAAGAAAATGAGAAAAACTAGAAGGGGACAATAAACTGTACATTCAGGTTGAGAGAGCGCTTGATTTAAAGGCTCAGAGCATTGGTTTACTTACAGATAAAGATAAGCAATTTGTGGGATTCTTACATTCTAGTCTCCTTTGGTGATTGAAGACATCTTAGGAGATAACTATCTGTGTTTTCAGTTGTCTAGGTACTTCTGAAAATTAGTCCCTTAAGCCAAATTCTTTTGTTCTTCTCTGATACTGAGGCTGGCTAGAGGCCACCAAAGGTTTATTAAAAACATTGGCTTGAGAAGCTCCCTGGAGACGTTGTTCCACCCACTCACCTGCATGCCTGGGTTGATGTGCTGGTTAGAGACCACAGAGTTCCCCTGGGGATGGTGGAGTCCCTGCTCAGCTTTCGAGGCAGGTCTCCTTGTGGCAGAAGTAATATTCCTTCTTAAGTAGCTCTTTAGGAATACTGGAAAGGAACGCCTGAGCCTCTTCTCAGATGACTAGACCATAATTTCATGAAATTATTGTCCAGGTAGACTTGGAGTCTACCTTGGTATGCAAGTAGTTGTTGTCCCTCGTTACGTGAGTTCTTTCTTAAAACTCCTAAAATCCTTCCCTTACCAAGCTGTCCTGTGCATTGCTTGCTCACGTGTCCCACAGCAGTGCCGGTGGCAAGGTGTGGCATCCTGAGCAGCAGCGAAATATTGACTTAGGCCTTCAGCGTCCAAAGCAGAGGCATAAATTTGTCTTTCTCTTTTAGAGCGTTCAGAGGATTTACTTCACAAGGGCCAGATTTCTCCCTTCCTCTTTTAGCATCAAAGAGGATTGATTTCTTAACTCATAAAGCAAATTATTTTAGCCAATAAGTTAGATATGTTGCACATGGGAAGTAAAACAAGAATATCTCAGTTAGCTCTCGTCACCAATATTTATGCATAACTTTATTTGGAGAGCACCGGTCACAGCTGTTATTTGATATTACTCCATACCTGGAACTCTCACAAAACACATATTTACCTTGAGGGAAAAGAACAAGAAAATTCCCAGACCAGAGCTTACCCTTTCCACCAATTGGACCAATTTTCCCAAGCATTCCCTGGTCACCAACATCCCCCACAGGTCCTTTGTTTCCTAAGAGAAGAAATAAAGAGGAAAAGAGTATGGATGGTTTCTGTCATTTCTTTCCCAAGGCACTATTTAGTCTCTACTGCTGCTATTTTTCCTGAGCATTTCAAATATTGATTTTACTTCACAGCCATACCAGTCCAACAGCAGGTTTTATCTGGGGTTTCTTTTTCTCCACCCCAGACAAAAGCCTTTCTTTCTTCCTTGAGGTAAAGTCCTCGTGGCTTTGCTGGGAATCCTTCTCAGTTTGCACACTGAATTTAACATCACTAAGATGCTTCCTAAATGGCTGGTTACCCGATTCCTTTGTATCTTACCTGATCTTCTTTTTAAGGTAAGGAGCAAAGTCATATGAATGCATTTATAAATTGAAAATTTTTTTAATTATAATTTTAAAATTTCTATAAAAGTCAAAGCTTTCCTGATTAGTCTTAAATGACTGTAAAGGAAGAAAGCCCATGGATTTGCATTATCATTAAAATCTAATGATAAATTGAGCTTTTGAATTAGAGTATGCAAACAAGGCTGACACCATCACATCTGGTGTCTCCAAATGCTCTGCCCAGCTCACACTGTGGATATGGGATATGTTTAATAGGGCCGAGTCCAGAGACATCTGTGACTCCTTGTTCTCAGCTCAGATGCTGTTTGATCAGAGGAACTTTGTTTCTCAGTGTATGCCCCTGTTTGCTTTTCTGCAAAATAGGGACAACTGAGACAGAATTTAGTTGAGCATCCTGATGTATTACTAGGAAATAACTCTCAAAATTCAGTTTCAACTAAAGGATCATTTCAGTAAAAGAACAGTAATCTTTCTGACTATACACATGATCTGCATAATGATTATACATATGATCTGGGTCTTCTGGATCACACTCATGACAGCCACTTGGGAGAGCAGCAGTAAATGTACTGGTTTATTACATGACTCTAAATTTTCTGCCATATATAGCTGTCTTACGTATCGGTAGGAAATGTACCAAGCTCTCCGAGTATTGTTAGGTTCACCGATTAATGTTTGACAGGATTGTGAAATCCACTGGTGCAACAGGAATGAAAAGCATTAAACATCGCTGATCATATGCACCAGTACGGTTGTGTATAATGATATTCATATACCAGTAATAGCCAACAAACTGTCATAAATACCTTTTGGTCCTTTTGGTCCAACCTTTCCTTGTTTGCCCACTTCTCCTCTATCTCCTTTTTCACCTCCATCCCCTTCCAAAAAAACAGAAAATAAAGCATCATGGTACGTTTCTCTCAGTGCAGTAAGTGCAACTATATGTCCTCAGAAAGTAAAGTTCACAGTTTTTTATTTCTACTACTTTCTTTTTATTGCACATTGAAGGCACAGTAGCCATGGGATAAATTTCCATAGAGGAGCTGATGAATCTGACCATCATTACTCTTTGCTGGGTATAAAACTGGCTAGATGGTTGGGCCCAAAGAGTGGTGGTGAATGGAGTTAAATCCAGTTGGCAGCCAGTCACAAGCGGTGTTCCCCAGGGCTCAGTATTGGGGCCAGTCCTGTTTAATATCTTTATCAACGATCTGGACGAGGGGATCGAGTGCACCCTCAGTAAGTGTGCAGACGACACCAAGTTGAGTGCGAGCGTTGATCTGCTGGAGGGTAGGAAGGCTCTAGAGAGGGATCTGGACAGGCTGGATTGATGGGTCGAGGCCAACTGTATGAGGTTGAACAAGGCTCAGTGCCGGGTCCTGCACTTGGGTCACAACAACCCCATGCAAGGCTACAGGCTTGGGGAGGAGTGGCTGGAGAGCTGCCTGGCGGAAAAGGACCTGGGGGTGTTGGTCAACAGCCGACTGAACATGAGCCAGCAGTGTGCCCAGGTAGCCAAGAAGGCCAGTAGCATCCTGGCTTAGATCAGAAATAGCGTGGCCAGCAGGACTAGGGGAGTAATGGTTCCCCTGTCCTCAGCACTGGTGAGGCCACACCTCGAGTACTGTTTTCAGTTTTGGACCCCTCACTACAAGAAGGACATCGAGGTGCTGGAGTGTGTCCAAAGAAGGGCAACGAAGTTGGTGAAGGGTCTGGAGGACAAGTCTTCTGAGGAGCGGCTGAGGGAGCTGGGGTTGTTTAGCCTGGAGAAGAGGAGGCTGAGGGGAGACCTTATCGCTCTGTACAACTACCTGACAGGAGGTTGTAGCAAGGTGGGGGTCGGTCTCTTCTCCCTAGTAACGAGTGATAAGACAAGAGGAAACAGCTTCAAGTTGCGCCGGGGGAGGTTTAGGTTGGATACTAGGAAAAACTTCTTCATCGAAAGGATAGTCAGGCACTGGAACAGGCTGCCCAGGGAAGTGGTTGAGTCTCCGTCCCTGCATGTATTTAAAAGCCGTGTAGATGTGGTGCTTAGGGATGTGGTTTAGTGGTGGGCTTGGTTGCACCAGGTTAACGGTTGGACTTGATGATCTGGAAGTTCTTTTCCAACCTAAATGATTCTATGATTAGGAAATCCTCTCCCTTTTGGAGAGGCTATTCCAACACGAGAATTATAGAACACTAATGTCTAGTCGTACTGTTTAAGCCCTATTAGCTATAAAGCTGATAAATAAGCCAGTCTTTCTCTATTGGGAAACCTGTACACGGAAGAACTGCCAGGGGCGGCAATAGGAATTTATTAATTGTTCCTAGTGACTCTGTTCATAGTGACTCTGTGTTCAAGGTATGCAGATGCTTTTGAAATGGGAGGAATGTAAATATGTTGAAATTGATCTTAACATAGACTTTAGCACGTAGTATGGCAGAAGTCTTGCCTTTAGTTTTTGACTGCTGACATTTATATGCTGATATAACAAATGCATTTTGCAATTACTCCAATGCTTTATTTTTAAAATGTCATACACGGAGTATCTGTAAGAGGTAAAATCATTGCATTTATTACAGTAGTGCAGAGATTTCTCCAAATGAGATCAAGACCCTATCACACAGGTTCCTGTATAGTACTGTGTAAGTACTCTTACTATTGCAAGAGACAGTCTCTCACTGAGCAGCTTACAGTCTAAAGAAGCAAGACAGCAATTAGTAGGAAAGAAATGTTATCTCCTTCCTTATGCAGCATACAATTTTGCTTCACATTATGCAGGAAATTAGAGGCACAACTGGAATGGATTTTCTTATCTTCTACTTCTTGGTTTTGAGCCAAATCCCAAGAACATCTTTCCTCTTTTTTTTTTTGAGACAAATGCTGAGGGGTGACGACCCCTGCTCCCCTTTGCACTAAATGACCAGCACTGAATACAGGCAGCCTTCCAAAGCCTCTCCCCCCATCCCCTACCCTTGTCTGCAGGAAGCCTTGCTGTGTGGTGGGAAGCCGTGCCACAGTCTCTTGGCCACGCCAGGATCTCAGGTGTGAGTGGCAGCCAGCTGTGTCTGTGCCTGCAGCCCAGAAGGGGAGAAGAGGCTGCAGTTCAGCATACGTACCCAAGGGAGCATGCAGTTCAGCACACGGAGTACGCAAGGGAGGGAAGTCCGTCTGGATGTCACCAAAAGAGAAGTGAGGACAGAACAGCATTACGTGACAAGACCAATAGCCTGTCTGACTGAGGATGGTGCCTCCAGCCCTGGCAGAAGGTGTTCAGGGAACTGGGTGTGCTGAGGGTGACTGTCACCCAGGCAGCCGCTTCCAGCCTCCCTCGAGCAGTGGTTTAAAGGGCTTGCCTGAGCCAAGCACTGCAGCCAGACCACTCGTGAACAGCCACTAGTGATTCTTCCCTGCACAGATTAGTCCTGTGCCTTTTAAACCCATTTATAGTTTTGGCCCCTGTAATATCCTGTGGCAAAGAGGTCAATGAATTAATTATGTGCTGAAGAAGAAACTAGCTTCCCATGGTTGCTTTCAGACTGATTGTTTCATTGGATCTCATTCTTATTTTCTGAAAAGTACTGCCCACTCATTCCTGATTTACCTTCTACTTCTGTAGCCATAGGTAGCATATTGTGGGCTGTACTGTGGGGTGACGACACATAAGAAGTGGTGCATATTAATTGCAGCAAATAAAATGTAGCATTAGCTGTTTGGCTCCTTTCCATGTCAGTTACGTGGACGGGGCTGAGTCTGCCCCTGTATGCCAAAAAAACTTCAGTGTTGGGACTCTCTTGTGGAGGGCAAACTCACCCCGTTGGTCAGGATGCCCTTTGGGGGCATCCTTTGGTCAGTGGTCCAAGCTGAGGAAGATAAAGGGCTGAACTTCAGTCCACATTGGAGGGAGGAACCATTTGCCAGAGGGATGGACAAGGAGGAAGCATGATGTGGTGTGTGTGCTCGCTCACTCAAGCGCTTTGTTTGTTTTTAATGCCAGATGCTACAGGACAAAGTAGGAAGGGGAAAGGCTATAAGCTGTCAGCAACAGAAATTTTAAACATCTCTATTTAAACATCTCTATTTTCACTGGTTCTTAAAAATACTGGAAGTGTCAGTATATATTTCCAAAAGCCAAGCTCCTTAAATATGCAGCTGAAGCCATGGGTCTGAGCCTGGAGCTGATGGAAGGATGCCCGCTTGTACTGGGTTCTTGTCTACCGATCATCAAACAGCAGAGCCAGAGAATGTACGGTTTAATTTTGCTGTTGACCTCAGTGCTAACAACATTTACAACTGAGAAACCAAAAAATTGTCCTTTCCAAACCCATCTATGAAACCCTTGAGAAAAGTCTAAAAGTCACTTCTCAGTAGCTCAGAAATTCAGAAAAGATTCCCAGAGGCTGACAAAGGGCTTGTGAAATTAAATTCCCGGAGAAGGTTAAGAGCTGATCTGATCACAGTCTGCAAACCTGTACAGGGGGAGAAATGTGTGATAATAGAAAGGAAGCAGGGTGTGATTTGAAAGCTGGAAAAGCTGGATGAGTCCTGACTAAAAACACAACATGGGGATATTTAACAAGTGAACCATGCTCTCTGGCAGGGGAGGGAGACGTAGGAGGCTTTTCGTGTCCAGCCTTTCCCCGTGCAATGAATTCCTTTGTGTAAGATATGTTGTAACTCTGGGTCTGGTGTAGAAGCTGCTGAGGGAGTTTCTTTGGCCTGTGTCACGCAGGAGAGCAAACCAGATTCCTGCTGGCCTTCCAAACCAGGGCTTGTCCCCCTGGCAGTCCTCATCACCTCTCTCAGGCCAGCTAGTTACATTCCCTGTGGCTTTTTTTTTTTTTTTTTTTGTTTTTT